TTATTTGTGCTCTAAAGATGTAAATTTGGGTTGTTCTCGCATATAAAGTGTATTGATCATTGGATCATAAAAATTTCCCTTTTGAAAGGACATCAAAACAAATTTCCTGGTACTGGGTAGATGGCCTGTTTATCAAGAGAACATGCTGTTCCTGCAGAGCACTAGAGAGTGGTTCACAGACTCCCTGTCAGGAGGAGGAGGCTCCACAGGCAACCACACATCATACGTGTGCATGCACACACACACACACACACACACACATAAACAATAAATACACAAATGTAACTTTTTTTTGAAGAAGAGAATTTGGTACATTACTTTTCTTGGTACTTTGACAGAAATACCTGACAAAAAGAAAAAAGGCTTATTCTGTTCACACCAAGGATACAATCCATCCTGATGGGGAAGGTGTGGCAATGGGCACACACACACACACACACACACACATAAACAATAAATACACAAATGTAACTTTTTTTTGAAGAAGAGAATTTGGTACATTACTTTTCTTGGTACTTTGACAGAAATACCTGACAAAAAGAAAAAAGGCTTATTCTGTTCACACCAAGGATACAATCCATCCTGATGGGGAAGGTGTGGCAATGGGAATGTGAGGTGGCTAGTCACACTGCACTCTGTCAAGAAGCAGAGAGTAATGAATGCTGGTGCTCAGCCCAGTTTTTCCTTTTTATTGAGTCCAGGACCCCAGGTTATGGAATGGTGCTGCCTACATTTAAGGTAGATCTTCCTACCACAGTTAACCTAATTTAGAAACTGCTTCATAGACATCTAGGTATTCCTAGACCCTATCAAATTGACAATACTAACCATCCAAGCCCATCCCTTGTCAACTTGACACTTAAACATATCATTTTTTTGAGCTATAACCTTTGATCTTTTATCCTTGTAGGTTCATGGCTATCTCATAATGAAAAAAAGTGGTCAGCCCAACATCAAAATCCCCACAGTTTTAACAGTTCCAATTCTTCAAATGTGTAAATGCAGAGCCTCTTCTGAGACCCAGGAAATCTTTAACTGTGAGCCCCTCCCCATAACATCAAAAAAGAAGTTCGATATTTCCAAAATAGTGGCACAGAGTAAACATTCCTATTACAAAAGGAAGAAGTGAGTACCTAGCAAGGAAAGATTGAACGATAACAGACCAAAAAACACCAAACTCTGAAGCTCCATGTCCAGCATTTGGACTCATGATAAAATCACCTGGGCACCAAAGAGCTTGGACAGCCCTGCCCCTCCAGCTCTGCCTCCTCTCTCTCTTCAGCCGTTCCTCTCTGTACCTTATCTTTTCTTGGCAGATATCCTATGGTCCTGACATCGCCAATACCCTGGGTTCTGTACTTCAACATAGGTTTCACCTTCACAACTTCATGCAACGGTATCTCAGGGCCCCCTTGCAGAAAATATGATGCTGCCACACATTGTCTGGCGTTATCAGCCTTCCAGAACGTTGGTACAAACCTCTATGACTTCTTTACTCTTTTACTATTATGCCTATAAACACTAGCACCATGTGGATAATGTTGCCAGATTCTGTTGCTGGCTTGAGATCTAGCCCTCCTCCCTTGGACCACAGCTGCATTAGCCTCTATGTGCCCTACAGGCTGACCCTGGGGAAACACTACCCTAGGTCGTTATTTCTGAGCAGGGAACTCTTTCAGTAGCATTCCCAGTTCAGACTCTCTCTTTGAAATGACCTTGCATTTTTACAAGAAGATGGAGTCTTCAATATGTGAGGTCTTTCCCTCAGGGCACCTTTTCTCTTGTTCCAGTACAGAGCAGGAGGTTTCTCTTTAATAGTACTCATCTTGTTAACAGTTACAGTTGGTTTTTCAGCACCTACCTTTTCTACAACCTTAAACTCTACCTCTCCCTGTCAAACAGTACATTTTTCATGCCTTTTTGCTCCACTTGTTGGTTCCCTCATTGTAGACCTTGGTAAGAGCACCGAGCCATAAACATTCCACAGCCTGGATGCTATCCTGTCTTGAAAGTTCTTCCACCAAAGAAATGAGTCCATTACTTTAGCATTTAGCCTCACTCAGGTTCTCAGGACACTAGCAGAATGCAGCCAATTCTTTGTCAGAA